CTATGTGCTTAATTTGTGCTAAGGATATTACATGGTTTATTCCAGCTTGGTTGTATTATTATCTACATATTTTAGCTAACAGATGGCATACTTGGGATTCATACCCAGGTCATTTGACTCTAGAACTCATTCTTTTAACTACTATGCTATTCTTATAAGTAATTTGGATATATTTTTGTGGTAAACAATAAGGAAAATTATTGACATAACTGAAAGTCCAGATGTAGGGCGAGCTTCACAGTTGACTTGGCTCAAGCTCAGTGTCCCCGTGATTCTCTTGGCTCTGCTCTCTTCCCTGTGTGGCTTCATCCTCAGGCTGACAGTGAGATAGCTGCAGCAATTCCAGCCCTCATATCCATGCACACAAGAAGAAAAAGAGAATTGTTACTATCAGAAACCCTGCTAGAAGAACAAAGAACTTTCTGAGATACTCCAACAAAATTCTCCTCAAGTCTCATTGGTCCAGAATGGGCCACGTGGACATTTCTGAATCGTGAGTGAAAAGGATGAGATTAAATAAATTACACAAACTCACCCCTAGAGTAAAAGATGAAGTCAGCTTTCCTTTGGCACATAGACTACATAGAAGTGAAGCAGACAATCAACCAGGACTAAGTTGAGCTCCCAGATGCAGAAAACCTAAAATAACAATGAATTCAACAAGTTAGAAAATAAATTAAGTCTGAAAGTAGACAGTATAGGCTAGAATGACAGTTCCATGGTCACCCAGGTTCCCTCCTTCTATCTCAGTGCTCAGCCATCCTTAATCTGTGACTTCTGCCTCGTGGTCCAAGATAGCTCTGGAGTCACAACCATCATATCCACCTTCAGGCACCAGGAAGGAAAAAGAAGTGGGAAGGGAGAAACTGACGTTTTCCTTTAACAATGTGTCTCAACCCTGATATGAAAACCAGACAAAGACATGCAAAAATCAGTAGCATTTCTATATGCTAACAGTAATGTCTGAAAAAGAAATCAAGAAACCAATCCCATTTACAATAGCTACCAAAAAAATAACACCCAGAAATAAATTTAACCAAATAAGTTAAAGATCTCTACAAAGAAAAATATAAAACACAAAAAATAGAAAAATAGCCTATGCTTATGAACTGAAAGAATTAATATTGTCAAATTGATCATACCACCCCAAGCAATATATAGATTTAAACTCAATCCCTATCAAATTACCAATGACATTCTTTATTCTTCATAGAAAACACAATCCTAAAATTTGCATGGAACCAAAAAAAAAAAAAAAAACCCAAATAGCTAAAGCAATTCTTAGCAAAAAGAACAAAGCTGGAGGTATCACACTATCTGATTTCAAATTATATAACAAAGCTATAGTAACCAAAACATCATAGTGCTGCCATTAAAATAGACACATCACCAATGAAATTGAATAAAGGATCCAGAAATACACCCACATAGTTATAGCCAACTGATTTTCACCAAAGACACCAAGAACATACACTGGGAAAAGGACAATCTCTTTAATAAATGGCCCTGAGAAAACTGGATATCCACATGCAGAAGAATGAAACTTGATCCCCATTTTTCACCACTTACAAAAATCAACTCAAAATGTATTAAAGACTTAAAGATAAGACCCAAAATTATAAAATTACTGGAAGAAAACATTGTAGAAATGCTATAGGACATTGATCTGAGCAAAGATTTTTTGGGGGGTAAGATCTCAAAAACACACACAACAAGAACAGACAAATGGGATTATATCAAACTAAAAAAGGAAACATTAACAAAGTGAAGAAGCAACCTATAGAATGAAAAAAAATATTGCAGATTAGCCATTTAACAAGGGATTAGTAACCAGAATATATAAGAAACTCAACTCAATAGCAAACACACACACACACACACACACACACACACACACACACACACACACACATGCAATCTGATTTTAAAGTGGGCAAAAGACCTTGAATAGGCATTTTTTAAAAGAAGACATACAAATGGCCAAGATATATGAAAAAAATGTTCAACATCACTAATTATCAGATATAATCTTACCCAGTTAGAATGGCTATTATAAAAAAGATGAAAGGTAAGTGTTAGTGAGGATTGAAAAAAAGAAGAAGAACGCTTGCACACTGTTGGTGGGAATGTAAAGTAGTACAGCAATTATGGAGTAACAGTACAGAGGATCCTCCAAAAACTAAATATGCAATAGTATTATATGACCCAGCAATCCCAGTGCTGGCTATATATCTAAAATAAAGGAAAACATTATGTCAAAGAGATATCTGCACTTTTATGTTTGTCACAGCACTATTCATAATAGCCAAATAGAATGGAATGGAATCAGGCTAAATGTTCATCAATAGATAAATGAACAAAAAAGATGTATAATTATACACACTGGAATATTAGTCAGTCACAAAAATAATGAAATTCTGTCATTTTCAGCACCATAAATGGAACTGGGGGGTCATTATGTAGAGACAAATAAGCCAGGCACAGACTATTCACAGATATTCACAGAATATCACATATTCTCATATATGGGAGCTAAAAAAGTGGATCTCATGGAGGTAGAAAGTAGTGGTTACCAGGAGCCATGAAGCAGTGGAAGGAGGGAGTGTTGAGTTGGTTCATGGGTACAAAAATATAGATAGAAGGAATAAGTTCTAATATTCTGTAGTACAGTAGAAAAATCATAGTTAACAATAATTTACTGTATATTTCAAAATAGCTAGAAGAGAAGAATTCTAATATTCCCCAAAAGAAAAAAACAATTTGAAGTAATCGACATCTCCAGTTACCCTGGCTTGATTATTACCCATTTTATACATGTATCAAAATATCACATGTTCCTCCCCAAGATATATAAAAACTATGATATATCAGTAAAAAATACAAAAAAAGACATGTCCCAGAAGTTACATGACACACTTCTGCTTACATACCATTGGAAAGAATTTGGTCATTTGGCAACATCTGGCTGAGAGAAGCTGTGAAATGTGAACTTTATTCTAGATAACTATGAACCCAGCTACAAATCAGGGGTTTCACTACTAAGGGAAAAGAGCAGAAGATATATTGAAAAAATACTAGTAGTCTCTGCAACAGGTAGAAACATGGACTCAATTGGGACTCTGTTGGAGAGTAAGAAAAAATAACTAAATGATGGTTAGGCAACCACCAGTGTGGCTTGTGGCCTTACTTCAGTCATTGAACCAGCCAGTAAACCTGGTGGTATCAGATACTCTGATTGGACACTCTGTGGTGTCCAAGGTCCAGTGATTTCTGGACCTTGGCTGTGGAGTCATCCCAACTCAAAATTCATGATTGAGGATAGAGTTGGATTGGTTCCCTAAAGATATTTTTTTTGTTTTTATTTGTAAGAGCTCTTTACTTATTGAGGATTGAAAATAGTAAGTTTTTGTCTATCTACTATGTTGCAAATGATTTTCTAGTTTTCCATTTCCCCTCTATCTTTATAGTGATGGTATTATAGTTATTGTTTTGATATATAGAAAATTTGCCCTAAAAATCAAATATTCTTTGCCTGTATTTTCTTTTACTTTTCTGTTCGAATGGTCTTCTATAACCAAGGCTCTAATAAATATTCACTTATATTAATTATCTTCTTTTACTCGTGGAATTATTTTTTTGTCAGTCAGAAATTACATTCTGCTACATATGTAACAAAAAACCTCACTTACAGCAGCTGAACAGATAAAGGTCCCTTTTCTCAAATGGTAATTCCATGGATGGTTTGGTGGACTTATGATGCCTTCAAGAATCCAAGTTCATTCCACATTTCTGTTTCTCTATGATTAACATTTAGTTTTTCCTAAAGCTCACAAAATGACTGCCACATTTCTAGCCATCACATCTGAAGTTTGGAGAAAAGGGGAAGGACAAAATCTGAAATGACTCACAACATGACTGCCACATTTCTAGCCATCACATCTGAAGTTGGAGAAAAGGGGAAGGACAAAAAGCTGCATACCACCTAAATCCACCTATTTTTTCTGGAAATTATTATGTTTCCTAGAAATCTCATCTGTTAGATTTCTCATTGGTCAGATTTATATTACATGGCCAATTAGAGCAGGAAAATTTGGGGGAGATGAGTGTTTTAATATGAGTACACTGGAACAAAATAAGATTCTATTATTATTTAAGAAAGGAAAATGATATTGGATAGACAACACTATCTACCATAATTTTCATGTAGAGTATTTTTCACTATATAATATAAAACAAGGAATTAATTTTTTCCAGTTAGTTAACCAACTTTCTTAGCATCGTTATTGAAAAAACTATTCTTTCTTGTTGATTTGGCACACTACTACATTACATTTAAAAACATATAGAAGTTCCAACTCCAGGAATGGCAGAGTGAAACCTAAAAGACCATCCTTTCCCAGATAACAACTATAGACTTTTGACAAAATATCGATTCTAGAATTAGCAGACAAGATTTTTAAAGTAGTTGTTATAACAACGCTCAGAAGGAGTATACAAAAAATAAGTTATCCTGTTAGGCATATATTCATATATGCTTTTTTTAAAAAGTAGTTTGGGGTAAAAAAGCAAAGAGTGTTTTTATCCCCTTTTTGAAGACAGTAAAACATATCCTTATCAATGACAGGTCACTGAGTTAACAGAGCATTCTTGTCAAACTATTGGATCCCCACTCTTGAGTTAGAGGTAGAAGAATTAGCAGCTGTGGAATTATATAGCTCTTTTGTTGTCCAGCTTATTTACCACCCTTACTAAAAACCTAACCAATTCCTTTTCAGTGAAGGCTGTCCTGCAGCCCACCCCCACCCTATACCTTCCATACCTTAATGTTTTTATTTTCAGAATTCAGTACAGCAGGAAATTTCCTGCATGGAATAGAAAGAAACTAAAACTCAAGAGGGTGAAAGAACCCCACAGGGATTACAAAAACTGCTATAGATAAAGATTGACTTTGTCAGAAGAGGAAATGGGCTACCTTGTTAACCCATTTCTTTATCGTTTAGGAAAAATAGCTCACCCATTGCTCGCTCCCTATTCTGCAAGCAAGTTTGCTCTGGATGGGTTCTTCTCCTCCATCAGGAAGGAATACTCACTAGCCAAGGTCAATGTATCAATCACTCTCTGTGTTCTGGGTCTCATAAACACAGGTAAGGTCAAGACATTGGAATAAATGTCCTGCAGATGGATGTACCATTGTGAATAAATAAGGGTGCTGAACTCCCTGACTCATGCATAATGCCCTAAGAACTAGTGACAAAAAGCAATAGATAACCCTCTCATTTAATAATCATTTCTGTCACTAGTGGAGCCTCTGGCCCTCCTTTCCATATTGACCACCAAGTTTGTGAGGCATCACTGAATTCATCACCTAATAACCCTTTTATGAGCACCTTATGTCCTTATGGACACTCAATGGCCTTTAGTTTTTTATATGAGACTTATCAAATACAAGTTTGTTTTTCTTCATTACATCCCCAGTAATATGACATATTGGTACTAAATATTCATCTCATGAAGTCTTTGCTGAGACACACCAAGAAGAACACAACATTATTTTTTAGTATTGTGCCAAAAATGTATAATCCCACTCCAATCATAAGAGAACAATTGAAAAATCCAAATCAAGTGACATTTTACAAAGCAATTGATCAGTACTCTTCAAAAGTTTCAAGGCCATGAAAGATAAGAAAAGACTGAAGAATGTCACAGAGTAGAAGAAAAATAAGAAATTACCACTAAGTAGAGGCCTTAACAAAATCCAGGAAGAAAAAAAGGACATTGAAAAAATAAGGTATATAGTTTATTAATAATATTATACCAATTCTATTATTATACCTGTTCTGGATCATTGCATAACATTTATGTGTGATGTTATATTAGGGGAACCAGGGTGCAGAATATAAGGGGGCACCTTGTACAATTTTTACAACTTTCTGTAAGTCCAAATACAAGTTTATCTAAAACGTGCTTCAGGTATTATAAAAAGGTTTTCTTTATAGAGTAATGAGTAGTAGTTACACAACAAGGGAGAAAAGAGAGGCACGGAGAGAAGCAAGAAAGGGTTGGAGAGAGAGAGAGAGAGAGATGTGTAAGAAAGACATGAAAACTTGGAAGAGAAGTGAAAATGGTTAGTGTTGACAAGGGAGCAAAAGCCTGGGTTCTCACTGTCTCTTCCTTTCACAAAGACAGTAAGTCATACAGCACTCAGTTTTTGCCCACTGGCACTTCCCACTAGCTGCTGGGTCATCCTGAGAGTTCTGTTCTCATTCTGCTCCCCCATTTTACTTCCCCACCCCAACCAAAACACCCAAGAGAGAAGCATGATTCAAGAAGCATGAGTCGGATGTCCCAGTTAAGCACCTCTAACTGACCCCACAAATCTCCATCCAGGAAGGCAGCGTCCCTATTAAACACTAAAGTCTCTCTTTGCCCAATAGATTCTAAACATACCCATTCCCTCTATGTATTCCTTAGAGTCTGTAAGGCTTGCAAACACTGACAAACAACCCCTGACAGCTAAGCTATGGTGTCTACAGATTTCCATCATGTAGCTTCTATTAGTGTTGGATAACTCTGATTTTTCCTTATTCTACAGACACAGCTATAAAGGCAGTTTCTGGGATACTCGATTCTCATGCAGCTCCAAAGGAGGAATGTGCACTGGAGATCATCAAAGGGGGAGTTCTGCGCCAAGAGGAAGTATATTATGACAGCTCACTGTGGACCTCTCTCCTGCTAGAAAATCCAGGGAGGAAGATTCTGGAATTTATCTTCCCAAGAAGATACACTGTGGACAAATTGATAAGCTACTAGGAACCCCTGTAGGGCTGAGCACACTGAGGGATTTGGGACTGTTCTGTCTGATATTTATCTGAGCTCTCTCCATGAAAGCCTCTTTCCAGAGGGATAACTAGAATGCCCCCAGAGAGAAGCAGGTCATGGGTCACACTTGACAATTGGAAGAAGTTCCTCTAACACTTGCACAGTGGAAATGTAATTATAATGAATGTCATGAACCACTGAAGCCTGCAGTTATAAAACTGATAGTAACCATAGGTATAATTACAAGGTAGTTATATCAAATTTATCTCTGACATATAATAATATGTGATGCTTAATACAATAGTAATTATAATAAAGATCACATACACTTTGTAAATTCATAACTGGTAGCTATAACTTTAGTAAAAGGTTTCTTTAAAACCATAAACTACACAAATGAAATTTTTCAATACTTCTTTCTTATTTGGTGGTCCTAACCTATTGACTGTTCCTGAGTTGAAGAAATCAACCTACTCTTCATTTGATGGGGGACATCATGTCTTTATCATTTCTGCATATTTCAGATATTCTTTATATTACTGTACCTTGCTCCTCTGGGAAGGAAGACACCTGGGCATGAGTCGCTAGGGTCAACTCAGGGACATGGAGATCCCTGGAAACTAGAACCACAGAACCTATGACCATTTATTGCTCTCAGAGTATATCAGAGTATATCAAGCATCTGTACTTCACATATGAATACTGAACAGTATATTGGAAGTTTGGAGAGGAGGAGTTGGAGTTCAAATCCTACCACTCACTCATTTAAACACTTGCTCACTCAACAAATATTTGGCAAACACTTACTAGGCATCAATTGACTATGATCAAATGGGAAACAAAACATCAGCTGGATTAACAATTCAGCAAAGCCCTATGTTGGTCAGAGCCCATCAGGTAAGCGATGGCACCCTCAACTTGAGTAATTTTGGTAGAACTGAATAAAAAGAGGACTATTTACAAAGTGTGGGCAAGGCAGAGGAAAATCACAACAGACAGTGCAGTATCTCAGGACTAGTTGCAGTTATTTCTACCCTGAGGCCCACAGGGACAAGAAGAGAGACCTGTTACAAAAACCCAGAGATAGAAAGACCTGTCTGGAGAATGCCACATGGCAGGAGACTCCAGCCTCACTCTCTTCCCTTCCTCTGATTTCTAGCCAGTGCTTCACACTAGTTGAACAGAGTCAAGCGAGCAGATTGGCATAGACCACAGGTCAACTTCCTCATACACAGAACATACGGAAAAGAGTTCTGGGGCTGTGGAAGGAGGATCTCCAGCAGGCACGCCACACTCCCAGATGTGGGGCTTCCATGGTAAGTGATGCTTGGACATTACATGTGAGCCTGGAAATGCAGGGGAAATTTCTTTTTCCTGCCACTGAATCTAAATGGCTGGGCAGTAAAAGAGACTGAAGTCTATTGAGCCTGCCAGCCACACAGACAAGGGGCTAGATCTGAGAGTGTGAATATGGCTGGACTTTTCTTAGAAAAACGTCTTTCCCTGGCTATAATCAGTACAAGGGAGCAGGAGAGACATGACTGCATCTGTGTGGGAGAAAAGAGGTCAAAAACATAAAGTCTGTTTTCTGACCTGGCATGCACTCACACTAGTAAAATATGGTCTAATAGATGTCTTAGTTTCTGATCAATGAAATGAACACCGCTCAGTCTCCGGTAGAAATGAAGTTCCCCCTTCCCAGTGAGGAGATGAAGGGCAGTAAATCCTTTACTGAAGAATGGAGGCAATACTAAAACTGAGTTAGAATTCATTTGGGGAGAGGTTAAACCTCTTTCTAAATGAGGCTTTCCTCAGAACCCATAGGAGAAGATCTCAAAAAGTAGGTCTGAGAACTGAAACCATCCACACCCACATAGTTTATTATCTTCACTAACCATGACATTAAAATTCCATTCTCTCTATCAGTATGAATATTCCGAGAAACTATTCTGAGAAACTCTTGTCTGAGCAGATAAATATTGCAAACCCATTTTAAAGTGCTCAACTTTTCAATAGATAGCATCAAATGACTGTTACTCTTTAAGGCTCTTCGAAACCCTCACTTCCAAGTCCGGGCTTCACTGTGCTCAGCAATCTCAAACTATGGCATCGTGATCCTTACCCAATTCTAATCAAGTCACCACACTGAAGCCCCACCTTAAACTAGATTCCAATACCTCATAAATACCCTGACTTTGCCCTCCCTACTCTGAGAGGCTACTACAGCTCCATCAAGACTCTATTAAGACTCCAACTTTATCTTATCAACAGGTTGTTTCAGTGGTCCAAGGCATAAAGCAAATTGCTTACAAAAATGTATAATATAATTCCATTTATGTTAATAAGTTATATCTATACATAAGGAATGCGGAGATATATATGTGTATGAAATGAGGAGGCTAACTAGCATAAAGCACTTTTCTAAGACCTGACAAAATTAGGAAAGACTTTCTTCTGAGGAACAGACTTGTGATCATTTTTTTTTTTTTTGATTGGGAGTCTCACTCTCTGGCCCAGGCTGGAGTGCAGTGGTATGCTCACGGTCACCACAACATCTACCTGCTGGGGTCAGGCAGTCCTTCCACCTCAGCCTTCCAAGTAACTGGAACTACAGATGTGCACCACCATCACCAGCTAATTTTTTGATTTATTGTAGAGACGAAGTCTCACCAGGTTGCCCAGGCTAGTCTTGAACTCCTGGGCTCAGGCAATCCTCTTGCCCCAGCCTCCCAAAGTGCTGGGATTACAGGCTTGAGCCACCGTGCCCGGCCCAATTGCTACTGTTTAAGCTACCGCATTTGTGGCAACTTGTTATGGAAGCCCTAGAAAACTGATACAGGGAGTAATAACATAATCTTGGGCTACCAACAAAGACAGGTCAAGGGGCACAAATCTTTTAACTCAGAATTTCACTTCTAGGAATCCTGATGCACAAATGTAATCTGATTAAAACAATCATGTCATGCCTCCAACAAAACCCATAATGATCCCCGTTCACTCAGAGTAAAAGCCAAAGTTCTTACAGAGACTTCCATATCCTACATGACATGGGTCCTCATTAGCTCTCAGACCTCATCTCCTATTCTTCTCCTGCTCTCTCTCTAGCTACATTAGACTCCTACTATTCCTGGAGCACACCAGACGTGCTTCCTCTTCTCTAGGCCTGGAACGGCCCACATGGACAGCTGCCTTACTTCCTTTAGATCTTTACTCAGAAGTTGCCTTTTCAGTGAAGCCTTCCTTAGCTTCCTAAATAAAATTTCAAATCCACCCTGAAATGTTATTTTTCTCTTCTTGGTTTTTTTTTCTCCTTAGCACTTATCATTATCTATAGTGTTGCTCATTTATTTTGTTTATTGTCTGTCCCTGTGCCAGTTACTATGGCTACATAACAAACCATTTCAAAATTTTGTAGCTTAAAACAAGACAACATTTGCTTCACTCACAAATCTGTAGTCTGAGCAGGGCTCAGTAGAGATAGTTAATTTCTGTTCCACTCACTGAGGTTGGAGTGGCTCAAAGGCTAGGAGATAGAATCATCTGAAAGCTCAACTATGCTTGTGCCAGAAGGATCTCAACAGCTGGGACCTGAAACAGGTAGGACTCTTGGAGTGCCTGTAACAGGTAGGACCCCATGGGCATCTCTCTCTATCTCTGTATGGTCTCTCCCCATGGTCTCTTAGAATGGCAGCTTCAGGGTTGCTGGACTTCTTAGAGGGCCTCAGAGGTCCAAACACAAGTTTCCGAAGAGGAAAAAAGTTATATTGCCTTTTAGAACTGACCATACATTTTTGGTTAAAGTAATTCTGAGGACCCACCTCATTTCAAGGAAAGGCAATACAGACTCACTCCTTGATGGTAGAATGTCAATGTCACATCATAAGAAGAGCATGGGGGATTGATGGACTACACATTGGTGTAGCCATCTTTAGAAAATATCTGCCAGTCTCCCTGCTAGAATTTTAGCTTCATGAGGGCAGGAGCTTTGTCTGTTAAGTTCAATATAAATTCGGCACCTAGAGAAGCACTTGGCACATAGAGGTGATCCAGAGAAGACCATGAGGTATCTAGATGCAAACTATAAACTGTTGGGCCAGACCTAGAGTCAAGGATTTCTAAAGGTGACACAAACAGAGTAAGACAGGTTTGCAGGAGCGAAGGTCCTGCAGATTGTCAACAGGATGGGGACAGGAGGGCTGATAAGAAGAAAGAGAGATAAGTGTCAAGACAGGAGTATGATGAGATTACAAATTTATAGCAAGAGTCAAAGTTAAAATTAGTTTTTGCTTTCAGTCTGAATGTTTAAGAGTTCTCCTTAGGCCCAAAGACATAGTAAAATTTCAGCCTGTGTTCAGTACTATAAAACAGCCTTTCCCTGATTCTGCTCACTTGGTACTTATTCAATGGCATGAGAGAGCAAGAGAAGATATAAAAACTATGAACCATGGTCAGACATGGTGGTTCATGCCTATAATCCCAACACGTTGGGAGGCTGAGGTAGAAGGATTGCTTGAGTCCGGGAGTTCAAGACCTGCCTAGGAAAAATACCGAGTCCTCTGCACTACAAAAAATGAAAAAATAAGTCAGGCATGGTGGCACATGCCTGTAGCCCCAGCTACTTGGGAGGATGACCTGAGCCCAGGAAGTCAAGGCTGTGGTGAGCTGTGATCATGCCATTGCACTCCAGCCTGGGCAACAGAGTAAGACCCAATTCAAAAAAAAAAGAAAGGAAGAGAAAAGTAAATAAAACTATGAACAAGTATCTATTAGTAAATATTAAACTAAAAACCTTCTTTTCCAGGTAAGTGGTGATAAATGTTTAACAACTAGCTCTCCAGAAAAGGAAAAACCTTGATTTGCTGATTTGTAGCATTCATCTATATTCATGATGCAAATATTCTTACCATGGTCAATTTTCAAGGTAAAACAGGTAACACTGCATGTGGATTAGAAAAAAATAGGCACCATCTGCTCTCTCAAGCCTTGTAACCAGCTCCAGCAAATCACCCTGACTTTCACTTTCCACATTCCTAAAGTCAAACTCTAATAACATGAATTCAATTAACAAATTTTTTTTGTCAGCAAGCATGGCCAATCTGACTAGCAGAGTGACATGATACCTTCTTTCTACCATTACCCAAGAAGGAATGGAAACTCAAGCTGCTGAAGACATAACACCGGATATTCACTTTTCAATTCTAAAGGTATCAGCACCTTACATAAAGTCAACAGCCTCAACCAAAGTGTCAGAGAGCCCTGCAGTCATGACTTTCATGTTTGTTAACACTGCTTTCCCCTGAAAGTAACAGAAAATACAGCTGTCTGACAGTGACTGGATCAAGTAGAGATTTATTTTCTTCTCATAACAAAAAGTCTGAGTGGGGCAGATCAAGGCCTTCAGGGACCTAGGTTTCTTCTTTCTT